TTGCCTTGCCCAGACCCGCCCTGGGCCCAGGGCCCTGCTGCCCTCATGGTAAATGGGCAACGGCCGCAGAGGTCGAGGCCAGTCGGGGGACAGGGTGGGCGCTCCCGTGCTAACAACAGGCCAGGCCCCCTTCGAAGTCCCAGGGCACCAGCCGTCAGCGAGGCTGGGAGCAGCCAGTGCTGCAGGGCAGGTGGTGTCAGGGTCCTGTGTCCTTGGTCTGCCCAGGGCTCATGGCTGCCTGGGGTAGGCTGAGGTCCTGAGGACAGGCCACTGTCCTGAAAGTGTGACATTGCAGAAAAGCGAAAATGTAAAACCAGGGCGCTGGCAGGACTTCTCCCCTGTCCTAACACAGGGAGAGGCAGTGCCCCGCAGCAATTTAACTGCATTGGTTACGAGTGGGGGACGGCGAGGGAGGAAGAGGGGCCCAGCAGGGCCAGTTCAAGGGGTCTGTAGCCACCTCAGACCAACCTGTTAGAGACGTGCCTGTGCACACACGAGCGTGCAAGTGTGAGTGTGCATGAGCCTGAGAGGCTGCGGGAGGGCGGGCTTTGCAGGGTCGGAGGTCTGGCCCCTTGTATGGAGAAGAACGTGCCGTGCCCGAGTTACCTGCCCGACGGTGACGGAGTAGAGGCCTTTCCCGCTGCTGAGCCACCGAGCCGTGTCGTGGGCTCCCTTGAGCGTGTCACGCCCAGGCCCATGACACCGCCCTCTCTAGAGTCAGTGTCCTGTGGCCTCAGCATTGAGCTGAGGGGGCAGTGGGCAGCTCCGGTCTGGCAGCTAAGAAGGCCTTGTATGTTGCCCCGGGCCCCTCGTGCCACATCTCCAGGCCCTAGGCTATGCTATGATCCCCTGCTGGGGATCAGGCCTGGACACCTGGGGCCATGGAATGTGTCCTCTCGGGCCACCTGCATTCATGAGCACCAGAGAGTGGCCTGGCCTTGGCCTTGAGCAGAACCCTTGGGGTTCTGAAAGAACGTGCCTCTGTAGCCTGTCCACCACGAAGCCCGGGGCAGGGGCACATGGCCCAATGCCTCTGCTCCCAAGGGAGACCTGCTGTCCCGGAACTGGAGGTGGGTGCCCTGCAGCCCCAGCATCCCAGTCACGAGCTGGGGCACCTGCAGCTACCAGCTGGGGTGCTGGAGTTTTCCTGCCAGCGGGAGGGCCCTGGGAGCATGCCCTGGGGGCCCTGTGCTTGCTGGGGAGCAGCCTGGTCCAGCTAGCTCAGTCCAGCACTCTTCCTGTCCTGTCCTGTCCCTGCCCCGTTGCTGCTCCAGCTTAGCTGCCCCTGCCTCAGAAGCAGCCTGCACAGCCTCACGTGGCAACAGCAACCGGGCGCTGCAGCTCGTGCGGGCTGACAGCTTCAAGGGTGCAGAAAAGCAAAGGGCTTATTAAAACGCTGAAATTGGTTCTCAATGAGGTCAGCCGTCGATGCGCCTTGGAGGGAAGCCAGGCGCTGAGCCGCGGCACACGGCTCATTTCCGCATGGTGGGGTGACACCCCAGGGGCCCGCCAAGCTCCCTGCCTTGCCTGCCCTGCCTGCCCTGCCTTTGCAGGGCATCTCGCACCCAGAACAGCCGAGCAGGGCAGCCTGGGTGGGGTGGGCAGGGGCGGGGAGCAGGGGTCAGGCTCCCCCTGTCTGGGCAGAGTGGAGAGGTGGTGGCCAGCTCAGCACATGTGCCTGCCTGAGAGCACCTGGGGCGGCCAGGTGTCACCCCGGATGAGGGCGAGGGCAGGACAGCTGAACACTGCTTCCTCACCCCGGCGTCGGGTCGGGTTGCTCCTTCCTGAAATCCATTAATGCAAGGGAGGCCATCCGATTGGCTCCCTCCCTCCCACGCCTGCCAGGCCTCTGCTATTCCCGGTGGTTGCATTTCTCCCTGAGCTCCGTCCTCCTGACTCCAGTGGAATTTTCCTGACCTTGCTGCCAAGGTATGCAGCCCCTTCAGCGAGCGTCACCCGCTCTGGGGTCTTTGACATGGATGCTGGTCCTGCCCCCAACGGCTGTGTGACCTCAGGTGTGTTGCTTAACCTCTCTGAGGCTTCATCTCCTCTGCAAGATGAGATAGTCACTGACCACCCAGGGCTGCCGAGGTGGAGGGAGGCGGAGTAGGGGGAGCTCTGACGCAGGCTCGACTCTCCCTCCTGTGAGTTCCTAGTGCCAGGCCATGAGCAGTTCGGAAATTGGCGGCATTTCTGCTGAATGTGCACGGAGAGCCAGCGTGCCTGCCTGGCTCCAAGCCGGAGGAAGACGGCTTCGGAGTCCTGTTGGCGATGAACAGGTGCTCAGAGCAACTCTGCCACGAACTCCGAGAGCTGTCAGCCTCACCCTGCACCGGGAGAGGGACGGGGCCTGGGGGTGCTGCGAGTGCTCGGGCCATGCTCTGTCCCTGCCTGGGCCTTGTTCCCCAGCCCGGCTGAGTGGGAGGGAGCCCAAGGGGCCAGCTCTCCCCGAGGCCCGACCTCCTCCACTTCCAGGTATGGGAGGCTCTGGGTTGGAAGGCGCTTTCTCAAGGAGGCCCAGCCGGGCACACGGGAGGGCAGAGCCAGCACGAGGAACCCTGTGGTCACTCCAGGACCAAGCCAGTGCTCACTCCGCCTGTTTCTGAGCTAGAGCCACTGGGTGGCGAAGCCGGCAGGGAGGGCGCCCCCTTCACATCTGCGGGAACACAGGCACTGGCCTGCTGAGCTCTCTATGACTCTGCCTTGCTGTGGTCACTCCCCTGGCCCTGGGAGTCAATGTCTTGGGTACGCGATTATCTCAAACGCCAGATGCCTGCTACAGGCGCCGCTGAGGTTTCAGAAGCAACCCAGCGGGTAAGGACAGGGTGTTCTCGGGCAAGCACAGGCAGACGTGGCCTCTGTGGCCTCCCCTGGGCCTGTCTTCTGTGCAGGACAGCTTGACTCCAGCTCTTCAGAGCGTTTCCTGTGGCCTGACGCCCTCGGGCCCCAGCCACTGGGCCGCCTTCCCTTCCTCTGGGGCCCTCCTGACTCTGGGCTGTCACTAACCCTTGTGGGGCCTGGTCTTATGGCCCATCATCTTTCCCTGTCTTCCCCAAGCTCGGGAGGGGGCGCTGTCATGTGGCCACTCACGCATGTGCTCACGCATTGTTTCGTCAACCACCCCTTTGCTCGGCTCTGTGCTGATCAGTGCCGGGGGCAGGCACGGTCCCCGTCAGATCCTTGGCAGGGACCAGCTTGTCCCCAGGGACTGTGTGCTCAGTTCCCAGCTGCCTGGCCTGCGTGGTGCTGCCGGGCACAGTCAGTGGGGAGCGCAGCGGCCTGGGGTTGGCCTCCTTCCTCTGCCTGCTTGCCTGCTTGCTGTTGCAGGGTGCCTGCCTGCTGTGTGCTCCCTGCCACAGGGCCTTTGCTTCAGCGCCAGTGTGGGGCTCCACCTTCCAACGGTGCAGAGACAGCCGGTCCTTCCGCAGAGCAGAGCACAGAGCAGGACCAGGCTCCCTGCACGGCAGGCCCGGGACTCGCGTCTGGGACCTGGGACTGGACTGGGGGCTGGGCACCGGCTCGTGGCCTCCGTGTGCTCCTTGGGTTGGGGGTGGGTCCTTGCTTTCTCCAAAGAGAGGAGGGCTGGAAGGAAGGGAGAATGAAAGAGAGGAAGGAAAAGAAAGAAAAAGAAGGGAGGGGACGAGGAAAA